AGAATTTCATTAACTTTGTCTAGAGTGTGTGGAGTTAACGTGTTCGAAAAATGAGTGGTAATAAACCGAGGTTCTTTATTGGAAAATTCCTCTTTCAACATAGCGCATCAGTTGGAATCAGGAAATATCGTTGCGATATGGGAACTTTCGCCATACGACTCTTCGTCGACACGAACGCAAAACCCGAGAATTTCGAGTCGCCGAGAGAAGCGGCAACCCTGGCCAGGAACTAAATTCTCGGATTGATTGGGCGAAAAACCAATGATGTTTATGTAATATTAGTGCTGAAGGCTCCCAGGAATTCCAGAATCACGCTCCTGAATAAGGACTGCAAAAATCTTGATTTTCATATGCATGATGAATAGAGATAATGAAGACATGTTTGAATAAACTGCATCATCACGTCAATATATGCAGTGCTTTGTAACCGACGAAACCATTCTTCCAACACTTCTGCAGCAATTTCTTCTTATGATATAGATTGTATAATATTCTACGGCCTATTTTGTTAAGCATTAAATTTGTGTGTCGATTTGTCGATCTGTATGCATGTAAAGTCCTCATCATTGCGGACCGGTGGGGCGTGTCAGCCAGTATGAGTGTGCACACTGTTGAAGCCGTTCTCAGCCTTTTTGTTGAAACGCGTATGCGACAAAAAGTGGTAGAAAACGAGTAATACGAAGGATATAATACAGTAATGTCACTTGCCCGCTTCAACAACTGGTGAACGACTTTGGCACCGCGCCAAACGCAGCCGCACTGACACGCCCCACCGGTCCGCAATGAATGAGGACATGCTAAAGTATGTACACTCAAGCTCCCGAAGATACGTAAGCCATCGCTGAGCTTGAACTGAACATGGCCGACGGCTGAGCTTTTCGTGAGATATTTTTTAGGTCCGTCTGGAGACAAAGAGTGTATGTTAATGATGAACCCGCAACGGTATGGTGTGCAAAGGAACGTGAAGCAACCTTCCCCCCTCCCCTCTTCTTACAGGATGCCAATGCATTTGCGCAATATCTGCGGTTTGTCGCATGCTGTGAGAGTAGAGCTCAAAGCTACAAAGTAGCACTGAACCGTTAGTCAGTAGTATACAATTAGTAAAATGTTAAAGAAGCACATGGCAGTTTCACAGCCGAGTTGTATTGAGCATGATTTTGTTAAGGCTCAGAGCAGAGCCAAATCTACATGGTTTTGAAATTAGGAGCGTTTACTTTCCAACAAACACACAGTTTTGTTTTAGCTCTAATTTAGCAAAAGTGCGCCCGTATCAAATTTTGCTGCGAAAGGTTGCTTCAGCTGCAATGAGAAGTCTTCCATTTACGCAGCCCAAATTTCCATTCAGAACCTTAAAAACGCTGCCAGTGCACCACACGTCCACTTGTGATAAATAGGTATGGTAGCTTGGAGGCGAAAATAAAGTTCTCAATGGAATGCGCATGCACTCGTCTCCCATTCAAAACCGCGGCGACATAGAAATGTAGATCTATGGAATATGGAGCTGGATTTTGGATTGCATAACCAACACTTTGAGCCAGCTGAGCCGTACTAAGAGAAACGCCACTTGTGCTGCTACGTTGTAGTTTCATTGACAATGAATTACATTGCTAAATTCCGAACTCAAAGGAGTTTACCGCCCACTCAACGGCGAGGACACAAAATCGTATAGCTGAAATCTACTTATGCTTTGACAGGTCTGCCCGTCTTACATTATGCTAACAACGCACATACAAAATACTTGTAATGACGGGAGACGCACAGTAGAATTGTAGTCTGTGCTCTTGGCGCCACGCGCCGAGCTTCGACGGCGTGTATCGTTTTTCCTAGTTCTGCGATTAACTCTTGTAGTTTTAGAGCATCGGATATCGTAAATATATATACTAGGATATCGTAGCTATTTATGGCTGTTTCGGTCATGCATTGTCTATTCTCGACCAACACGACGACCTAGAATCGTCGCCATTGGCGGGTGCGACGCCGCACGCGACGCCCACTGAGGCGGCGACTCACGTTTATCTTGTCACATACCCTTGTATGACAGTCTGTCAAATTCCCAGAGACTTGTGAAAAAACATTAAGTGGCGGGCCAGGGGAATAGAATCTATCATGTGTCGGGGTCCGACATACCTTGGCCCATACTATGCGTTGATGAAGTACTGCTCCATGGAGCTCAAATTCTATCCTTTGATTAGGCCTCTCTAACTTGATGTACATGTCACACTTCTTGCTGTTTTTGTGTATGACTCATTTGGTCTGACTTCCTTGAACAAGGAAATGCATGGACCGGAGGAAATCACTTTCAGGAAATGGTGCAGTATTAGGGCTAGGCCTTGTGAAAGGAAACCTGTCAATCTCCCTTCCCTTCAGATGAACGAATCTTGCGTCGTTTAGAACCGATCATGGCTGTGCAGCTACATTGTTAACCTCATATAACTTAGCGCGGCACCCAGTTTGCTTCCAGTTCGCTTGATCAGCGGCATTGGCACCGAAAGCGGTTATCAGTTTTCACTTTGAAACAGCAGCGCCACCAGCTTCAGCACTTTTCAGATAGTCGAAGTCATCCCCTAGCTGTCATCACGGCCAATCTTCGGCCTCTAATCTCGCGTCTCTACTCTGAAGTCGCCGGAATCATCTGCAGCGCTGCCTGAGCGTTTCACACAATTAATCCGAAGACGTTGCGAACGACTAGTGCCTTACAGGGGTTGTCCTTCCTAAGTTTGAAGTCACACCAATGAGCTTTGGTTAGCTTATATTCTTACGAAACTTTTGCAGTGAGGCCTCCCACGTCAAGATGGGAGCTATTAGCCGATGCTTCAAAAAGTACACTTTTAATATGTCACAGCGTAATTAAGAAAAGGGCTGACATTTGAGAAAAGGATAGATTAGGGAAGAGCGTGCGATACAATAGTTCTAATCTAACATTTTGTTCACACATAATTTCGTATATGAATCCATTATCCGTTTGACTCGCTTACCCCGATGTGCCTCTCAAGATCCTGGAGAGCGTAGTACTTAAAACAACAGCAGCCAAACACAGACCGACCGAGGCGAGCTTGCTGATGGACTCATAGCCGCCACGTGCGACTTGGTGGCGCCACTTCTCTCTGAAAATATGGGTGTAAAAACGAGCCACCTGAAAAATCTGCTTGGCAGCACGGTGCGATCTCTGTACACTTTGAGGGAAAAAGCCAATGTGTTTGAGAAGCGCACATCAAACGCGGATTTCGCTTTAAACGTTCCTTCCTTGGACGAATCTTGCTCAGTTTCAACAGCCCATGGTCCAACGTAGCAAGCGACTCAGTGGAGAAAAAGAGTCAAGCCAAAGTTTCACCATGCTTGTGCGACAGGCTCGGCAGTGAAAAGAGTCAATCGAATAGTGATACCGCGAAGAAAAAAGAGCCCATTTAACAGTTGCGGATTAGACAAGTAAGTGCTTATGAGTCACAGAGCTCTTTTGATCTTTTTTTTGCCTTATCCTCAAGAAAGCCTTTCCACTCCTTCAATGCTGTGCCCGCGCATGCACTGCACTTTTACAGTCATCAGCATTGGTAGATGCTTTTTCTTCTCTTCTGCTCATCATACCAACAAAAAAGATATCTTAATCTATTGGTTTGGTTCAAAAAATTGATATCTTTGCCACTTAGCGAAAAAAAGAGCTCGGTTCGCATCCGTGTCCAGGAAATTTTGAGGATTTTCGTCCAGCTCACCCAGAAGATATAACAGCAAGAAGGACAGGACAATCAGGACAGGGTGTCCATTCCTTTTCCCTCATACTTCGAACAAGATTGCGTTCCGAGGAAGCTGGAGCCATGGTGCGGTACCGTTGGAGGTGCCATGAATGACTCCCCACCCCACCCCACTGGTTGCTTGTGAAGCAGATCTAGCATACAATTGTTAATTTTGGAAGATGAGTGGTGGTTTTCTCTCCCTAGCGTTCAACTTCGGTTTCATATGAAGAGCTAGTAAATTTGTTCTTGAAGTTTTTGGGAAAACTGGGACAGCTGGAAAAACTCTGGAACATAGTAAGTAGGATAGGGAAGGAGGTCATACCTCTACAGGAAACTCGAGAAGTGTGGTAGCGGTGGCCGGAGGGTCGGAGAGGGGGGGGGGTGTGAGTTTGTATTGATAACGCCTTCACACACCACGACGCTGTACCCGGGGTGGAATAATGTCAAAACCGGAAGAGTGAGACGTGCGCAAAAAACTTCTTCACCGAGGCTGAGGTCCCAAAAAGGGGACGGGATCATCCATTGTTGGTAACTTGGGAGGCTGCTTTGTCATCCGTTGAAGACAATGGGCTGTTCTGAGTGCAAGAGACAAGGAAGACAGAATGGTGATGCTGTAATACAAGGCGTAAAAAGTCGTGGCATTCTCATTGTCTTGATGCTTCCTTTGAACTAACGCCCAAATGGTAGAATGCATGCCATATTTATTGGACTAATGTCATAGCCAACATGTAAAATAAAATAAAAATAACTTTCGAACACCCCAGCAGCTAGGGGTAAAACAACCATAACTAAAAATTATTCAATACAATCACCAACATGTTTCTTGAAAGTGGAATACTTTAGAGGGAATATGTTTGAACGCAACAGAGAATTGAAGTAGGAGCACACTCTACTACTGAAAAACTTCGACCTATACCTAGATCTAGCCGTGTTGATAGTCAATCTAAACGGAACTCCCCTTGTGCTAGCTGGCAACACATTGAAGAAGTCCTCAACATCACAATTTAATTTGTTAGTATTCCTACTGTACTGTGCTGCCACCAGATGTGCTTCTTGTTCTGGCTCGCTCCACCACCTCCAAACGGGAGGAGAAACTTTCTCGGAACTTCTCGAGTGCTATTGATATTAGATGCTGCAAAGTGAGGACGCTGGTGCATCTTCTACTAGTAGGACTCAATGTTCAGTTTACTACTGCCCTAAATAACTCACATGATCCAGTTACTGGGTAAGATGGAACAAATTGTAGGTACGAGTTGAGCAGGTGCCCGCTTTATGACAACTCGGCTCGCAGTTTTCGTCTTGACAGCATGCCTGGGCCTTGATGCTCAGAATTGGTAAGCGACAGTTGGATAGTACTGTACAAGACGTGACTTAAAATCTAACACTGCTTTTAGGCAGGAGGAGAATGACTTTTTCAAAAGTATCATGGGGAGGAACCGTGTCCCTGAGTATTATTCACGCAGATACATCACACAACTTAGAAACAATGGCGACGTGAGCTACCACAAATATGAGCGGCGGTTTCTTACTTAATTTTTATTGATCCAAATATTTAGATGTCATATTATGGCAATATCCAAATTGGAACTCCTCCTCAAACCTTTCGAGTGCTTTTCGACACCGGGTCGTCCACTCTATGGATTCCATGCGCCAAATGTATTGACGACGAATGTCTGAACCATCGCAAGGTGAACATAAGGCTGCGGGAGACGTGCAACAGAATCGTCCGGGGCAGCGCCCGCGGCACGCGGCGCGTCGCGCGGCGAATGACTCAGCAGCTCACTTACGTGCATTTGCTAGCCGATAGCTTTGCGACTGGAGCAAATGATTTAGTACACAATGTTTGGCGGTTCCATAAACGCAACTTCAGGAAATAAACAGATACAAAAGAAATCAGATAAGGCCGTGATTCTCCCTATGTTTATGTGGTTCACATGATTTGCGCAGTCGCCAGCGTCAATATAATAGACGGATGGCCAAGTTTTTCTGTGAGCTGCTGTAAAAGATGACAAACCAGAGCAAATGTTAAAGACCCCAATGAATTTCGTGCTCTATTGAACTTTTTCATACTCTAACTGAAAACTTAACCGTAACTGAACACAAGACTCGATCCTGGGTGATATCAATATTTACCTTCCCTTCAATAACCCTATTCAAACCGCCAGAAGCACGCTTCGTCTTCTCGCCGCAAGTATGTCGCAGGCCACGCCCACCAGCTGCACCGGACGATTCTGTTGCTACACACCCTAAAACTGCGACTTGGGACTTGTTTGCAATTAGTGATTCCGTACTGTGTTCAGTTCAACTTAGTGATTCCGTACTGTGTTCAGTTCAACTGTGAAACCTCTACAACCTGCACGCCAAGTGGCACACCGTTTTCGACTACCTATGGCACGGGCGCAATGGAGGGAACAATTATGTACGATAAAGTCTGCGTGAGTTCTCATAATCCCACAAGGCAAGTTTTCTGCAGGAAACTTTGTTTTTCTTTCAGTTCGGAACTGATCAGATTTTTTGCACGGACAGGTCCCAAGGATTTGCTTGCGCTAAGAATGAGCCCGGAAACGCTTTTGCAGTGAGTTGGAAGAGTTTTACGTTATTGACAAGCTGGGCCAGACTAATTTTATGATTCAGGACAGCAAATTTGACGGAATTCTCGGTATGGCATGGGATTCACTCGCATGGGAAGGAATTCCACAACCTATGACCCAGATCTTCGCCAACAAGGTCTTGTGTAAGACACACACCACGGTATCCGGGAAGCATGAGGGAAATCTCAATGGTGTAAGGGGTATAGGTTTGGGGCACTAAATTACCTTGGAGGGGCATTAGAATGACACTTCAGCGGCATTCAAATAGAATTACCCTTCTCTAAATCGGCTCACCTCACGGGAAGTCGTTTCTACTTTCAGGGCGGACTCAGAACATTGGAGCAGCTTGAAAGCCCGGGATAGCTAGTCAAAATGGGTAGAGATCCCGTGCGTTGGTGCTGCCATGCTCGCTCTTCGAAGCTGCCGTAGCAAGACAGGTTCAAGGAAAGCATGGCAGCATTAAAGGCAGTTGGCACGATGATTTGGTGCTCGGCCTAAAATGCTAGTAGGGCGCTATATAGTGGGGAAATGGCGAAAGAACGGAGTGAAACGGTCAAAATCCTGCGAAGAAAGAGCCTCCGTTCTCAATGTGTTAGAAATCAATTTTGGACGAGTTTCCTGTAGGCATCTTGCCAATAACCGCTACCGAAGGTACGGCTGCATATGTGTACCCATATATCCATGCAGCATCACGGCCGCTTCATACCAATCCCTTCGCTTCATAATTTGCTTAGCAAATGAATCGATTAGAGCGTCAGGAACGGTCGTCCATTTGTGGGCGGGCGGGCGTGGCGGGCGTTTGGGTCGGTAATGTTGTGGCTTGATAGGGCCCTTATAAGGGCACCTTCCTTGGAAAAGGCATTATGCAGCGCCTGCTCAGGGTCGCGGAATTCCGTT